CCTCAGCCTCCCAAGTAGCTGGGACTACAGGCGCCCGCCACAACGCCCGGCTATTTTTTGTTGCAGTTTGGCCGGGGCTGGGTTTGAACCCGCCACCCTCGGTATATGGGGCCGGCGCCTTACTCACTGAGCCACAGGCGCCCCCCCACCCCCGATGTTTCTTTTAAGGCCCACTATTCTCTCACTGCAGTGAGCAAGTTCTATCAAGTGAAGGCTCAGTCCTGAGGCATTGGCCCGGTTGGAGCTGCAGTCACAGCTGAAGCTGACATTCTGTCACGGATGGTCCCCTTTCCTGGGGGAGCTCATAGTCTTGCTAGTAAAGCAGGACTTTGGTCCAATCTTTCTTGGCCACCCGCTGGGATAGGACTCAAGGATTCTATTAGTGATGGCCCAGACTTTTGGTTTCAAGATCGAGTAAAGTCCTGATCTCTCTGCACAGTGATCCTCACCAGGCCCTGGGAAGTCAGGAGGCTTGGCCTTTGTCAGGGGAGCTAAGCCTAGAGGTGGAGGGACGGGAGCCTTCACAGAGGGCTCTTTGTTGAGGCAGCACCCACACTGGCCAGAGCTTCTCTAGGGTCATCTCCTTCCACATGATGAGGCAACTGCGGCAAGGGTCCAGCTCATCCAAGCTTTTAAAAAATGAAACTCCAATGACCTTGGCAGAAGTGGCCTGGATGCTGAGGATGGTGGTAAAGATTTCTCAGTTCTCACTTAGCAGGGCTAGTAGGCTGTGTCATTATTCAAACAATGCTAAATGTCATCTGAGGACATTATCACATGCTTGACTCAAAGGGAGGGTGGTTTGTGCTTTCAATAAGTCCCCAGGGCTTCTGATCTACACTTTGGGGAGGGCAGTATCTGGCCAGACTTGGCTGGCAGACTCAAGGAGATGAGGATTCTAACTCCAGCTCTGTTCCTAGTGGCTCTGCCCCTGTCAGAAAGGCCCTTCCCATCCCAGGACCTCAGTTTCCCCACCTAGGTATTTCAAATGGAATCTTTTAGGAATGGGGCTAGAGAGTGAGCGAGCAGGCTCTGGAGTCCCACCATCTGTGGCATTTGGTTTTACATGCTGGTGCTCTGTGTGGCTTTAAAGTGGCTGGGATCCCATCCCTGCTACCCATCTCTGGCATCCAGAGGATGATTTGGCTGAGTGCTTAGGGGGTCTCTTTGAGTCCCTGGGCCTGGTTTTCCTTTTGGGCATCCTTTGGACCCGTGGCTCCTGCCCCAGGCAGGCCCTTACTAAAGCAAGAGTGAAGCCTGAGATTGCCCCAGCAGCAGCAGCAGCAGCATTTCCCAACTCAGTATGAAGACACCTCGCTGTCCTGGAGCAACTTAGTTCTTTGCTAGAATGATCTCTGAACTCAGCAGGGCTGATGGTCATTGTTTCTAAAACTGGGAATGAAGAATAGCCCCCTGGTTAGGAACTGACTGACACAGTCTTGTGGCTTCCTATGAACTCCAACTGAACTCTGACCCCTGTCTCAGCTTTGACCCCCTCAACTTTGCCTATATAGTAAAGCCTGTTGTCACCATATTCTGGTACCATAAAATCAGAAACTTCCCTGTTGCCACAGATTATGGATATCTGTCCTGAATGCCTTAATGTTCCCTGAAGTCAAGGACCTGCACAGAGCTGGGTCCTTAGGCAGACACTGTGCTTGTCCTAAGTGGCCAGGCACAGTGGGACAGGGTGGTGTTCAGAGTAGGGTGGATTTGATGAGAGTTGAGGTGATTCCACCAGCAGAAGGGTCTTGCTCAGAAGTTATTTGCACTATGAAGACTGCATAGCTAGAAGGGGAAGTGTGGGTGCCTGAGAACTTGATCTACTGGAAGTGCAGCACCTTTTTCCAACTTTAACAAACAAACCTTTAACAGCTTTAAGGTATAATTTATATATTATAACATTTTAAGTGTGCAATGTAGTGATGTTTAATGAATTTACAAAGAGTTACACTGGATTTTAGTGAGTTCACCACATCCAATTTTAGGATATTTCATTACTTCTAAAAGATCTCTCCTGCCCATTTGCAGTCTTTTACCCCAGCCCCAGGCAACTATTAATCTACTTTCCTGTCTCTGTAAATTTAACTCTATCAGACATTTTATGTAAATGGAATTCTACAGAATGAAGTCTTTGGGGGCCTGGCTTCATTCCCTTATTGTAGTGTTTAGAGGGTCATCCATGTTGTAGCATGAATCATTTCTTTTTATGGCTGAATGTTCCATAGATTTTGTTTACCCATTCACCAGTTTTTCTTAGCATTTTGTCCTAGCTCTGTTGCTGGTAAACTGTGTGACTTTGAGCAAGTCACTTCCCTTCTGTGGACCTTAGTGGTCCCATCCTCAAAATGACTGCATTTTTTTTTTTTTTTGAGACAGTCTCACTTTGTTGCCTTTGGTAGGGGGCCATGGCATCACAGCTCACAGCAACCTTAAAAACTCTTGGGCTCAAGCAATTCTTTTGCCTCAACCTCCCAAGTAGCTGAGACTATGGGCACCTGCCACAATGCCCAGTTATTTTTTGAGATGGGGTTTCTCTCTGGCACAGGCTGATCTTGAACTCATAAGCTCAGGCAGTCTACCCTCCTCAGTCTCGTCTCCCAGAGTACTAGGATTACAGGCACGAGCCACTGGACCTGTCTCAATTAACTTTTCTATTTTTAAGTGCAGATGGGGTCTCACTCTTGCTCAGGCTGGCCTGAGAATTCCTGAGCTCAAGTGATCCACCCACCTTGGCCTCTCAGAGTACTAGGATTACAGACATAAGCCACCACACCCGGCTGCCACTGTGCTTTTTTCTTTTTTTTTTTTTGAGACAGAGCCTCAAGCTATCCCCCTGGGTAGAGTGCCATGGCATCATGCTCACA